TTTTTAAATTCTCCTGTTGCATCAACAGTCTTGCACATTGGCATTGTTCTCTTCAGGGCTACAATTTGGTTCAGTTCCACACTTTGCTTCAGATGCTTGTAAATCTCCAGGTGTGCACAGTTTCTGCTGTTCAGGTGCAATCTCTCCTTCATGGCTTTGATCTTTGCTCCTTTTCACGCTACAAACAGCCTGTTCTTCAGAAGAAGCGTGCAATCCGTTCTGTAAAATGGATCATTTGTGTCACAACCCAATTAATCAGTGCCCATGCCACTAGCAAGAGATACCATTCAGACCATCCTCATTTTGCACACAGTAGTCAACTAAGGGTTAAAAGAAATCCTTGCCAGAAACTCCTGAAACAAAATCCTGGCGGAGAGCTGTATATAATTTATGCCCACGTCACAAACAAGAAACAAAACTTAAGACTGGTCAGGGTGAAAGGGGATAGCCCTGTCATAAATCCCTGCAATAAAACCCGGAGGGAAAACTGTATATAATTGGTCAAGAAACAAGCGTAAGCCCCTCATCATAACCTCATACGTAATAGGCAGGAAACCTGACCCACTACCTTGTAACCTGATAACACAAAGAACTGCTGCTTGCCAGAAAATTAAAGATTCCACTTAGCAGTTCATCATTGGATACCTCCGTTAATTACCTCTGTCTATAAATAGTTTAGCAACTTCCGCCCAAGCCGGAGAACTCTGGGGAAATCTCTGAGGAGAAACCTGAGTCCATCACCAGAGTGGCTTGGCGGTCTGATCACCCGTCAATCACTCCCCATCATCGTAAATCTTGACGTAGTAAAGCCCTGCAGGCACGATAGCTCGTTCCGGCGCCACGTTCGTCATTGACTGTAACCCGAACCCATACGCTTGACTGTAACCGAAGCAACTGTAACAGAACAAAGGCTCAGCCTGCGTCGCACATCACTATCTGGGCGACGTAAGTAAACAATCTCCTGTAACCAACACAAGTCTGTGCCTGGTTAATTTCACCCCATCCACTAATTACCCTCCTGTCAAGGCGAAAGTTTTACTGCTGGGTGGGGGGGGGGGGGGGCAGAAAGCAGCTGCCAGCGCTGCTCTGATCTCCAACAATTTGCATTATTCAATTTCTGGGGTGCGCACGCGCACACACACAAAATTATGTAATGAGGGAGGGTAGGCAGCCTAAATTGTGAAAATATTTTTTACAGTACTAAGTGACCATGAACTTAAGCAGCTGGACTCCCCAAACTTGCAAAGTTTTTCTAGATTTGAATTGCTTTTGTAAAAAAGTGCCTGGAATACCTAATTCTGGGATATTCATGTTCTAGATTACCTTCATGTACAATGCACATTACTGCCTATCCTTATGACTAAATTTCAGCTTACTGAAATGAGAATGACAGACAACTTACAGAAATGTCCACACTGTTCTTTTTCTTCAATTCCTTTTGAGGGTAATTCACATTCACTGGCTGATGTGTTACTGAGCTCTGAAAGTACACAAAAGTTACTTAAAATCTTTGATCAAGCTACTTTGTATGCAATCATTAGACTAGATCGGGGTGTCAAAAATCAAGCCCATGGAACCCTGTTTTTTGGCCCGCAGTGCTTCCCTTGGGTCAGAGTTTAACCACATGCTGCATATGGCATGTGCCAAACCAGCTCCACTGGCAGGGCCCAGGACACATGGTGCGTGCGTGCCATCATGGACCAGCAAGGACAAGAGGGAGGAAGCATAGCATGGTGCCTGCTCCAGCTAGATTATAATGCACATGAAATCCATTCTGGGCACCCCAGGATCCATGCCACATGCCCTGGCCAGTTTAGGATCTGTGCTGCATGTAGCATGGACCCTAGAGTAGCTGGAATGGGCACCACATACAGTGGATCTGGCATGTGGGGGAAGAGGGGGGATCCATGGGCTTGATCTGGCCCATGGACCAGCCTGCTTCCCTCTCCCCACCCCTCCCCACACACACACTCCTCTGCCCCACAGGGCCAGAAGAGCTGGACACTCCTGAACAAGATTAACACTGTACAATATTTATTCTCTTTCAGAATGCTGTATGCTGACCCAAACAATCTACTTACAGCCATTCCATACTCCACTTGTTTTTGAAAACCTGGACTAGGCTTGTACACTAAAGGAGCTTAGTGACTTAGAAGTACCTACTTTTAGAAATACACATTTTCAAAATAACCTGTTCCTTTAGGTTTTTACAACTAATGCTAGGTTAACTTGAACAGCAGCTGAAATCCACAACTTAACATACACTGGTTGCCATCTTGGTGTGCTCTTCAATTTGTGCGTCTGGCATATCACCTGCTTGCAGAACTTCAGAGTTTTTTTTGCCATTTTGTGGTCTCATCTGACCTTCTCCGTCTCTCAGACCATCTCCTCTCTCATAAGTTCTTACATCGATGTGTCCAGCATTCATCCTATGACGGATATTTGAATCACCTGCACAGATATATTGCACATACTCTTTTGGTTCCCCCTTCGGTCTGTCACTTGGAGGAAGTGAAGACTGCGGTTCCCTCTCAGAGCTTGTTAAAGCCCTGAATAAATTAACAGATCTTCCTGCACCATAGCAGAAACCCTAAAGAGGGGAAAAAAAAAAAAAAAAGGTATTTGCTTCTGCACCTGATTTTACTCGCTCTTTCTACAGACGTATTTTTACATCTCTACAGACAAAAGTACTTATAAGGAAAGATGTCAATACAGAAAGTTTTACCATTTGCACAAAAGATCCTATTTGCCAAGCTGCATTTTAAGCATAATTTTTCAGTACTTCAAAAAGGTAGGCAGCTCAGGGACCTCAACTTCAAAGCCTTAAAAATCTGAAAAAATATTATTTAATTTCAATTTTAAAAGATCAATTAAGCCACTCACCCCCCCTCAGGCTTTCCCTGCACCATTTAGGTCAACAGAAATACACACATTACCACAATTAAATTGGCATGAGCTGGTCAGATTTCCTGGTGCAAGCTTTTCTTACGCCGCCTTAAAAATCTCTGAGGATATAATATATCCTAACAACTTTAAAATATTTGTTTCAATTTTACCAATCTGTTGTTCAACTCTGTAGACAAAAATGCTGTTAAAATATTGGACCTAGTTTTATGTGGTGGAGATTTATGTATTTCTTTAGGTCTCCTAATGACAGCAAGAACATACTAACCAGAACAGCCAGAGCCATGATGATTAACACTGGAACCTGTAGCAATATTGGTATCTCTTTCATAAGCCCTTTAATAAATTCGCCAATTCCTTGTCCTATGTGCTTCAGTGGCTCTGTTACAAAATTGGTGAATGTAACGGCCAATGCCTAGAAATGACGAGATAGGGAAATTATTTTCATTTTTAACTAAACAATGGAAGCATGTACGGTTTAAGTCCAGTATATACCTTTGTTGGAGGAACCAGCCAAATAGGATTCACTAATATAAGTTCATAGTACTTCTGACAGTGATCATCCTGGAATGTCCATGAACTTCTAAACCATTCTACAGTTAAAGAAAAATAAAAAATATGTACATTTACCCTTTTTTATTTTTATACCAAGATAAATTTTAAGACATGATAAAGTTAAGCATTAACCAAAATATTTAATACTTTGTTTCACTTCAGAAGAATTAAAATTATTTCATAAATCTGTTTGGAAGTTTAAGTTGTCTAAGCATGGAAGAAAAATGGAATTTTCTTAATGTTAAATCTTACTGTTCTTTGGCACAGCTCTCTTTAGGGTTTAAAATGTAGCACTAAGTAGCCAGGAAAAAGGACATTAGGCCTGCACATTTGCCTTATTTAAGGAAGTACTTTAATGTCTGGCACTTTTTGCAAGTAGTCATTGGAATTTAGGCTTGGACTGTTGTAGCCGTAATGGTCCACACTTGCTACTCACATTTGAATTGAGGACATTTTCAGTGTTATTACTTATCTATTAGCCAAGAAACGGGGCTTAATAGCACTTTAAAATATTGTCTGTACTTTTATACAGCTTTTGTTATACAGCTTATTCATCTTTTAACATCTTGATGTTGAATCCAAAACTGCAGGAAATGGAGCAGTCTTTCTGAATTGTATTATTTGGTTAAGCAGTAGTCCCTAACAGGCACTTATGAAGAGTAATCACTAGAACAGCCACCCTCACCCCCTGGGCAGGTTAGTTTATTTTGAATATTGAACAGCAGTATATTATGTCTGAGGATTATGTTTAAAACTTTAAATGATTTGCCACACAGTTTTCTCAAAAGCTCAAATGAGCTTTAGTTAAAGCACCCCCACCACCATTTTGAAGTGCAGGACTCTGATTACACATGATGCTGTGGACACTTTAATTAGAGTGGCTCTCAGAACTGCTCTAATTAAAGTGACCCCCCCATAACTACTCCAGAGCATGTGTATAGACAGCCAAAAAGACAAAGTGATTGCTAACATTTATGTAAGCATACAGCACTTGCTGTTGCTATCCATCACAAATAGTTTAAAAAAACCCATAACGGCTATTTTTAACCTACAAATAAATACAGACCTACTATTATAATAGGCGTAACTCCTGCATAAAAATAAAGCAAGCAACTGAAAATATATCTTGCAGGTCTAAGTAATAATATATGTTTTGTATGCAATTCTATTTGTGTTGTGTTACTGAGGCCCACATACTTCACTTACAGGGAAGTATTTAGTGGGCAAAAGATTACAGTATTTACTCAAATACAAGACTAGGTTTTTCTCCCCAAACAACATGGGGGGGGTGGGTGGGGAGGGAG